GCAGGGGCGGGAGGCCAGCCAAGGGGAGGGGGGGGCGGGCTGCCGCGGGAAGCCGTTGCTGAGTAGTGGTGAGGCGCCGGCCTAGGTGGGCTCCGGTGCGGGGCCGCGGCTCCCTGGCAACCTCTGCCCGCCCTGGAGCCGCCTCTGGTGCCTCGGGTCGAGGCCGGCCCTCCGCGAAGAGGGGGGGCTGCTTGTGGGAGCTGTGCCCTTCCACCTGCTGTTTCTGACCCTCTGTGAGCGGTCCTGGCGCGGGCGGCCTGGTCCCTAGCCCCGTTGTAGACAGAGGGAGGTGTTGGCGCAGGGGGGTCGGCCATCCAGCTTGATTATAAACTTCCGTATAGAAATATTACCCTTTACAGCACGCCTAGTCTGCCTTTTGTGTGTATTTTGCATCTCGGTTTTACAGCGTCTCACTGCTTTGTTTCCATTGCAGCAAGTGAGCTGTGAGAAGTTCACCTGCAGAATCCCTTCATCCAGGAAGTACAGGCATAGCGAGAGCTAACGTCTGGAAATAATTGTCGGATAACAAGGGAGAAATAAGGTGTTCTCAATATTGAGAATAATTAACCTTACGGTCATCTACTGGCAACTTCTTTGTCTCTTGAAGTCACTAAATCGTACTGGAAAATACATGCTTTAATCAAATTTGCTACTCGACTCGGTTCACAGGTAGCCTCTTGCAACACACTGGCTTTTTCTTTCTAAGAAACATGGAAATGCAAGCGTTTTCATGATCTAACAACCTCTTTTCTATCCCTGGACGTTTCCATGCATTTGGTCCTTCAGTTGGGCTCTTCTCTATATGGGCTTTTGCCCCAGATTTGGACATTGCATCATCCAGATTGTGAGCTGGAGCTAGCTGCTCCCGTGGACTGCATCTGCTGTCTGGGTTTCCCATGCTACATCAACCACCATCCAAGTCTGCACTCACGGAATAAACGATTTTGTACCAATCGTCTGGTCTCCCACATCTCTATGTAAATATTTCATCATAGACAACAAAAAGACTGGAGCAGTGCATGCTCAATGCTCCAAAGAGAAAGCTGAGGACGCTAGGAGCAAGGCAGGGTAGGCAAGGCTTTCTCTACACGTCAGAAAGTTCTGTGTCCAGAGCTGGCTAGAGGTTAAGTTTTAAACTACTGTAGAGGTTGCTGGGGGACAGTATGCATTGGCTTTCCTGGGTGCTGCTGCAATGTATCCACAAATAAATGAGCAGCGTTCGCAGAGACTAGTGATTTGCCATTGTCGTACAAGAAGACAATAATCATAAGTATAGTATATGATTAGTATAATGTACTTAATCATAAGAAAGAAGACTTAATCATAAGTATAATTTGGTTCAAATTAGGATCATTGTTTTCAGAAATAACAGTAAAAACCAACATTGCACATTGTTATATGACAGTGGCATGAAATAACTCTTATTATAGAATATGTTTTATTCATATGTTTAGCTTCAAATGCAGATAGGACATTTTTACAATACTTGTAACTACCAAGTAGCCTAACAAGAGCTCTTAACTGTTAATTTGCAACATTACAATTGGCAGAAGCAGACGGTTGGAAGGAAATTATATGTACTTCTCCATTGGTGATTTGTGTGTGTGTTTCTTTTTTTATTCTTTTAACTCTCTTTTAATAAATTAAAACACTCTTCTAAGGCTGAAATGATAAAGACTCCTTCCTGTGGAACCAGAGCGTGAAAGCTTATCATCTCCAGATATTTCCAGGTGTGTCAGTTTGTTTGGTTCTTTTTATATTGTGTTTTAGAAATCATAGTAATTAAAATTAAGGGCATAAAATATCAAAAGCAATAAAAGTCATTGTAGAAATACAGCACTGGTATGGACCTCACCAGGTTACCTAATCCATTCTTGCATCTGAGGGGGGAGGGGGGTCTAACAGTCCTACAATGTTCATCACAGTTGTTTTTCTATATTGCCTTTAAACAACTTCTATGAAAGTTTTTTCTTAGATAGCTGCTCCATCATTTATCTTACTGTATAATTAAGAATTTTTTCTTGGTTTTATCAGGTTTTCCTCTCCCTCACTAAGTTAAATGCCTCTTGTCCAGTCTTTTCAGACAGAAAACCCCCACCCTGTTCTTGACTGTACCCTTTCATTTCTTTAAAGATTGCTAGCCTGTCCTATCCTCACCATCTACTTACTAACTAAAGAAAGACAGTTCTTCCAAGTCTTCCTCAGAACTTACATTTTGCAAATGTACCTTTTTTTTTTTTCCCTGGACTTTCTTTCCCTCTTAAACCACCGCGTCTAAAATTAGGCACAGTGTTCAAACTCTGACTTCAGCGCTGCTAAACAGAGCAGAATAATTATCTCCTGTGAGGTGCACATAACACTTCTGTTAATCCTTTGCAGAATTAAATTTGTCTGGTTTTGCTCTTTTGCATCACCATGTTCATGTGTGATCCCTAGTTTGTGATTCAATGTAACCATAGATCCCTTTCAGCAAGATCCTCTTGTGCCTGGCTGGCAGATTTCTGGCAAGTCATTAATTAGCAGGTTGTAAGACATCCCTAGAGTACGGATCCCACTGTGACTAGGGCATCCATAAGTATGGGAAAAGAAAGATCCCTTAGCAGATTTGCTGGAAAGCATTTTTTACCTAGTATTGGATTTTCTCTGGGATACCTGTCACATCAAGCAGAAGTTTGTCTCCCTTTCCTCTGTAGCCAACTCAGTTGCTTAACGCTGGCATTGTATTTTTAATGGAATACTTACACTTGGTTCTTTTTGTCAGCCTTTCTTGTAACCTTCTATTCGTATTGCAATGAAGGCTCTAGAGATTTAACTTCTAGGGAACACTTTATTAAACCAGTTGATGGTAAAACATCAGATTAATATTCAGCAGCAGTCAAAAAGGCTACTACAGCATTAGCAATGACTAGTAGCAGGCTTGTTGCTGTTGTGGTTGTCTGGAGACACCAACACAGCTTGTTTTGCTACGTCACTGCCTGAATGCTGGCCACAGCCCCGGTCACCCCATCACAAAAGGGTTTATGAACTAGAAAGGTAGAGAGAGAAGCAACTAGGATAAACATGAGACTGTACAAACAGATATACAGCCACGGTGTGATCAAAGGTGCAGGTGATGCAGCACCTTCTGAGAGTGGCTGATAGCGGGGGCCAAGAGGTGGGGATGAGAGCAGTCCATGTGGGCTCTTGCATTATACCTCCCCGGCTGAGTTATGAGATCAATGAGTAAGGAAAATCTGCTGTTTGAGGACGAAATAAATAGATTGTCTTGCTTAGAAAAGAGACACCTGAATGGGAATACGATATAGGAATGTAAGTCGCAAATGTTATGGAAAAAATGCATGGAGAAGAGTTGTATATATTTCACATCACAAATGAGAAGATTTCCAATAAACTTTTCAGGAATCTAGATTTAAAACAGTCTAAATGTAATCCTTTTTTTGCCTGACACTTAAGTAAACTATACTTATGCAGTTTACTTGCATAACTAAGCTTATGCTTAAGTTTAAGATAACTAGGAAGCTCCTTGTCAAATGTTGTTGCAGCTGCCCAAAAGATGAAGGGATTAAAGATGTTAGAGATAACGGGAGAAAAAAACCTATTGGGGTTTTAAAGTACAAAAACATACACAGAAATGTTTCTCAGGAAAACTACTGGCAGGTGAGAGGATTTTCTGTTCTGCCGTGTCACTCGTAGCATTCACAAATGAGCCCTGCCAAAGAAAGCTGAGCCCCAGCTCTGACAGGGCACAGCTATTTTTGGGATCGCCATGTCTCAGTTTCTGTAATGTCTCCAGTGGCTACCAGCCTGTGCATTTTTAAGGACAGATTGCACACACTTGCTGTGTGGGTCACAGCTGGAGGAGGTGATCCCTGCTGCTCCCACTCAGCTCCCTACAAGCATCTATCAGCTGCTCCAGCTGCCAGCAGTGGCTCAGTTGCGCCTTGCTATGGCCTTCAAGTAAGGAAGGGGTTGTAACTTTGCTCTCCTAGGAGCAGAACCAGGCTTAAAATATGATACTGAGAATGAGTATCTACTACCTGGCTTCTTTCTCATGCCTTGGTGTTGATTTTATGGATGTCACTGATAAATGTTGCCCTGTTTTTTATGCTGGTAGGGCTTTGCTGGGAGAGAGAGACACCCTACAGGTTGCCTGGGAGATGGTAACAAAAGGATGTTATACCATAGCCTCTTTACTCTTTTACTCATCCAGGGATGAGTTCCAGCTATGCTCCTTAATTTTTTGAGTTTTTAGTTACTATCTGGTGATGAAGACTCATGTGAAGAGCTACATCAAAAGTGTACAGGCCGCTTACAGTGGGATAAACATTGCTATCACGTATCAATCAGCAAGATCATAATCTGACCCCTAGCACTGAGCTTGTGTTAAAGAACCATTGGCTTTTATATCTTTTTTTCTTGTCCACTGACGTGCTGGGCGTTTGCTTTACAAAAGGTACATAAGCTTCTACACCTGGAGATTGAATTGTTTATACACTACAAACTTAGCAACCAGGTTACAGGCACAAAACTCTGAGCTACTTAGAAGACACTAACAACAGAGGGCCAGGCTTAGTGCCACTGCCGGAGAAAGGCTAGCAACCATTTGTCAGAACAGACAAATAATATTCACCCTGAGTTACCCTTCTGTGACCATTGCAACCTGCAGCACGAAAATGCATTGAGAGAAATGGCAGAAAAAGCTGTCTATGACATTGCAGTGAACATCTGTACTCATTTTTATCTGGGAGTGAAACTGAAGCTTTCATCTTCTTCCCTCAATTGTTCACAATCTTCTATTTTTTTCTTCTAATGGAATTGTTCTTCTATGAAGATCGTGGAGGGGAAAAAATGACCACTGAAAACCTATCTGCCTTTGCTTAGCTTTTTAACCTCTTTTTGCTTGCCTGCTTTTCCAGGAGACTGCTACGATGACAGATCCTTCAGTGGTGGATCACCTGACACGACTGAAACTCAAACTCCTAGAAAAGGTAAGGGAATAATTCTGCAGTGGTCACCTTTGCTCTGCTTTTTGCTCTTGCATGTTTAAGCATTAACATGGTATTTTAAATAATTATATTTCTACTGAGATACAAAGAGGATCTGCAGCCAATTGAGAATGTCTTTCTTCGTGCAAGCAGAGGCAGACCAATATGCAGTGGTGCTACAGTCACTGTCACTTTCTTAAATAACATTGTACAAGTTTACATGGACCTACAGTAAATTAAAAATAGAGTTAAAGTGACTTTGATCTTATGGGAGATGTCACCAGTTAGCTCAAAACCAGTGAGTTGTGACAGGCAAAGTTTAGGAGTAAATTTGGGGTAAAGAGGATCTCGTATTGTTTTAAGGCAATTTCATATCTTCTTTTTTGTCTACAGTCACATAAGATATGTTGCCTGGTGAAACATGGGCAGGCCTTCACTGGAAGCACATGAAGTACTGCACAGAACCCCAGTAGCTCTTTGTTGTGAGTCCACACACTAATGCATCCAGGGTTCTCCACTCAGCCCTGTTCCTCCACCCTCAGCACATCTGACATCCACTAGTGTGGATCTTCTGCTAGAGTGTCCTCCAGAAGCCACTTAAAGAGCTGTCTGGAAGGAAAAACAATTTGCCTGGAGGCGTGAATGCTGGAAGTGGCATCTAACCTGACTCCATGGTGGAGTCTTTTGTCTTAGATGCAGCAGCCATTTGAGGGCAAAGCTTTCACAAGTGTGGAGCCATGCAGAACCAAGAAAAGAGCCTGTGCATGAGCAAAAGGTCTCTAATTTCTTAGCATCAGTGAGCAGCAAGGGCCAGCTGCTCCCTAAGGAGCAAGGACTTGAGCACAATAACACAGACAGCAGAGCAGGGGCCTAGCCGGCCAGCCCCCAAGTGAGGCAAGCAGGGCAGAGCCAGAGGTGGTGGCCAGGTTCAATCAAAAGTCCAGATCTATCAGGCAAGCTCATGGTGATGAGGCAGGTCCAAGGCCAACCTGGGAAGTGTCTGCAGGTTGGGATCAGGGTTAATAGAATCAATGGCTAATCACAGGCATGGTTGTTGTTGAACTGCAGACCAATACTCATCTAGTATAGCTCAGGTAGGAACTGAAGACCTAGAGCTGAGATTAAAGGGGCTCCTGGGCACATGAATGGCAGGTCTGGATGGAAGCCCCAGGTGAGACTGGTCAGGGACATTTAGGCCTATTAGTGCACTGAATACCCAAAACTGTCTGGTATCAAGTTCTTCATATGATCCAGCTCTCTGCCCTACAAATAAATGATGTGTAAGCCTCCTGATTAACTATGCTCTCAATTTCCAGGTCTGGGATAGCCTGGCCAGTTGGAAGCATGACTATTCTTTTACCATAACTAGATTTGTAGTGAGACTATTCATACTTCTATGAATACTTCTTGTAGCCCTCACTAGCTATAATTTAGCAGTTAAGAAGCACCGCTTGTCTCCACTTCTGCTTTATTTCCTTCATCCCAAACCTATGCCTGTAAGGTAGGGTTGGAAATTGTTGTGAGCTTTTTTGCCTGACTCATAACAGTTCTTGTTGTGGTTCTATCAACAGAGACTAGAAAATGAACAGGAGAACCTAGAGAAGATGGAGTCACCTCTCCCAGCTGCAAGTAAACGAGAAGCATTTGTTCTAATTATGGACATAACATGGAAAGGGCTTAGTGATATTCTCAGGCATGAGTTCCTCAGTAGGTCACTCCAGATGATCACATCTCCTCCCTAAAAGCTGTGTGCTAGTGGTCAGGCATTTGGGTAGTCAGAACTTGCTCTGTCTTGGCTTCTGTGACCGGGACATTGTCTGGAGGGCAGGAGGGAGACTCTGAACTTGAGTCAGTGCTGCCCCAGCTCAGCCTGCTTATCTAAATCTGTATGCAGCCCTGGGGATTGGAAGTAGCAAAAATGCAAGTTCCTGTAAGCTTGTGCAGTAATGTCAGTCTGTATACTAGTCTCGGTCCTAACCAAGCTGGTGAATCTTAGCAGCCTTGATGCAAGGAGAATGGGCTTGCTATAGTGTGCAGCTGTCTACATTTTATCTTTTGAATTCCTTCAACTTTTTTTTTTTTTTGACAAAGAGAAATGGCCAACCAGCTGAGCACTGACATAAGAATGACCTTCTGCCCAGGTGTCTTCTGCAGCCTCTCAGCTGCAGATGCTGGTTCAGCTGGAGCAAACTACTGGTGATCCTATTTGTCCCAGCCTAGGAGTGAGCCCCTGTTGCAGTCCAGCTGTATGCTTGGCTTTGGTGATCCTGAAATGGAGTCATTAGGATGGCTGTGTGTCTCTGAGGGATCCAGGCAGGAGGAACACTTCACTACTAATACTGCTTTGCACCTTTGAAGCTGACAAATGCAGCCTTGTGTAGACCATAACATGGTTTCCAGTGCAAAAAAAAATGTGACTCAGCTTATGAAACAAATCATTATACTGAAAGAGTTGGTCTTGAGGACTGCGTTGGTAAGAGCTGGGAAACCATTTCACCAGGAAACCATGCATGTGCAATTACATTTTGACTTTGGTTTGGGCAGAGAGGTCAGGAATCCCAGCATGCTTATGCAACTTCCAAAGTTTAGACAATTCTCTCTAAAAGCTAGCAAACCAGCTAAAAGTTGATAAATAAGTTTATTTATAAATAAGTTTAAAATAACTTGTATCTTTATCAAACCATTTCAAAGACTGCTATGACGTTTCACATACAAGTAGTGTGTTCCCTTCAATAATACTCCCATACACGCATAATATGGGCAGTGCATTCATTTCTTTGCATGGCACATCCAGTGTTTATATTATCTATGGATTAAAGGCCACCAGCAGAAGATCAGTAATATTTCTAGATCGTACTCTGGTCTCGTATTCATTGAGCTGATGCAGAAAGAGTTTGAAACTTTCAATGCTGTGGCCAAAAATTAAAAAATCCCTTTAACAACTTACAGTTTCAAAATATGAGGTGATGCTTTTCAGAGCAGATGCCAGGCATGCCTCCAATGTATCTGAAAATGTTCTTCCTTATTTTTCTTTCAAGCGAGTTCAAAATCAGCTCTATGTGGGAAGAACTGAAAAGGAAGTTGATTCAGAACAAAAAGGAAACAGAAAACTTGACATTCAAAACTGAGTTTGTTTTTATATGACACAATGAACTTTTTTTACACTTTGCACAATCTTCCTCTGCACGTACAGAGTATATCTAGAAAATTTCAGGCTGAAAAGAGTTTCTAAGCCAGGAGGCTAAAAGGGGGCTTTAAAGAGCAATCTTAAAAGTTTATTTTCAGGGAAGGTGCATTGCCTTTGTCGAGCTGCTGAACAGCTGTGTCTGCATGTGGCATAAAGGCATTATCTGTTCATGGATTTGACAAGAAAAGTAGCCTAAAGCCTTTTGTGGAAGAGGTCAAGCTATATTACAACACGTTTTCCAGAATTAATCTTATAATGTAGGTGCTATAATAGCTCTGTCTTTGTGATCCTTTGAGAAGATAATGGACTTTTGCTCCTTTAGGGAACAGGCGTGAGGATATGCTCCAAAGTGCCCTAAGGCGAAGGAAAGATCTCCTGCAGGAGCTTAGGGTAAGAGCCCTCTCTGTGGGCAGAAACAACAGAAAGGGCCAGGTTATCTGCACATCCACTGTCGATGTGGATTCAGTTCTTTCCTGTCCTTTAGTTCTTCTGCTGGGCAGTATTCAGTGCTCTGCTGGTTTGGAGTATAGAGGCTGGAGCAGCTAATCAGGGAGAGGGGCCGGAGAGCAGTATGTCTTCCCACGCTACAGCTAATGAAGCTTGCAGTCACTTCAGTTAGTTGGTGGGTTGATTCTGTTTGTCTTGAACTGCTGTATCATAACGTCTCTGGGGTAGTGCCAAAATGCAAATAGGGGATTTTTAATGCCGCCAAAATAGGGACAATAGTAACTGTTACTTATTCCTAGTTTATGGAGGGTACCAACCATTAACGAAACGTTTTCCTAGACTTTTGGCAGTTTGTTCTTCACTTTTTCTCCACTCCTTTCTGCTTGTGCTGAAAACTGTATGGCTTAGAGATACATGGGAAGAAAAACTTTCTTTACACTTGCACGGGCGCTGGTTGAGTGCTTCCCTTCATGTAGCAGTCACTTGTGATCTGCCTGTCAGATGCAGCAGTGCTGGAAGTTTCTGCAGCAGGGTTTTGGTGAGCAAGGCTGCACCCTGCTGCGGGCTCCCAAGGGCTAATCCCATTTAGTCCAGAGACTGTAATAATACTGTCTGCCTTTCTGTGACCAGGTTTTCTTTAAGAAGATACTTGAATTTGCAGGAGCAGCACCTTCTGGAAGAGCTTTCACGACCAGCACCAGCTGGAGGACACTGTCATAACCACAGAGCTGCCCCCCCCCATGTCTACCAGATACCTTTTCCAGCTCCCCAAGCGGAGCCACCAAGGATTATCCAGCAGACAGTAAGGATCCTCTCTCCTAGGAAACACCGCTAGCGCTGTGCCGGTCTGAGACAACAACCGCAGTTGGAGGGACTTGGGGGCTGTATGGAAATGCTCATCCTACTGAAAGGGAAGATATGCCTTTTGCTATTGTATGGGACCTTTACTGCCCTAGGCAAAATCTAAGGGAAATCATCTTACAAATAAGGCACAACGTTAACAGTGTGAATGGTTTACCATAAAAACAAGGTAGCAAGAGAAGTGGAAGGATTGCCCACGCTCTGGCCCAGCCATTCAGCCAGTTTCCAATGCACATCACTGTCTGCTCATACACCCCACAACCTCAACAGCTTCTCCACAAGGATCTCATGGGACACAATGTCCAAAGCCTTACTGAGGTCCAGGCAGACGATACCCACTGCTCTCCCCTCGGAAAGATGATGGAGCTGGCCAAAACCAACCCGACTTCTCCATTTTCCTTTCTTTTTCAGATGCCGCCTCAGCCTGCCACCATCATCCAGCAGTTACCTCAGCCGCCCGCCCTGATCACGCAGATCCCCCCTGCTCAGCCGTTTGCAGCCCCCCGCTCTGGAAACATTAAAGAAGGTAACGTACCCTCCATCTAGCAGCCAGCTCGGAGAGAGCAGGTGAGGTGCCACAGCAAGTGGAAGGGGGCACAGGATGGCGTCCAAGCTAGTTAGTGACATGTTGTTTCATGACCGGGCTGCTGTTGGAGCTCTGGGAATTGCACTCCATAAATGGACTAGATACCATTTCTGAGAGGCTTTCAGACAAACTCTTATTGCTAAAACTAAAGAAAAAGTGACTACAAACTCAGCAAAGCCAGGTTAAGCTGCTGGGGAAGCTTGGGAAAGCAAAACGGCTCAGCCCAAAGCACTGAGTAGTATTAACAAGGTCAAACTCATGTGCACAGATGATTCCAAAATTAACAAACAGGCTTTTAAAATCTGTTTTTATTCTTTTGTTCTCTTTTAACCTCTTAATGCTGTTCGATCTCCTCAGAACAATACAGGCTTTTATTATGCCCCATGTCTGGAAACAAGACAGAACAGCTGAAAGTGCTGCTCCAAATATAGTGCAATGCCAATAAAAAGAGTTTGTTTCTAAACATAGGTGGAAGCTACTGTGATATAATACATGAGCAAAAACCTGGGAAGACTTCCCTGGCTCAACCTTCAGCCAAAGGTTTCTTCATCTCACAGAGAAATCCTCAGTCATGAAATTGCAGTATTTCTCAGCTTTTTCTTCATCTAAGTGTCTGGATTTTTGAATCAGAGTTTATTTTCATAAATGAAATAGTCCCAATTAATGCATGACTTTTTTGAAGCTGATTACATGTAAACTACTTTTGGTATGACCAGTTAAAAAAAAATTGAGAGTTGCCTTGATTTCTCCCCCCCTCTCCTTCCCCCCTCGCCCCCAAGCAAATTAGTTCCACTGCACAGGTCCTTTGTGATCAGGACCCAGAGATCATGGTAAGTAGATCTGATGTGCATGCAGTGGACTCTCAAGGTGGCACTGCAATATTTCGTAAAGTTGAGGAAACCTCTCATGTGGAAAGCACTGATCTTGAGCTGAAGCAATGAAGAGCGCTGTAAGGAGTCGCTCCATGCTGGAGTAAGCAAGAGAGCTCTAGTGCTCAGCCCTTCTCCAGCCTGCCAGTCA